CTTCCATTAGTTTTGTTGTTCATGGAGTCCTTCTCAATATCACCCTCAAGTTGGCTCAAGTTTCCCTTTTCCTTGATAAGTTGGTTGTGGTGGGGTTTGCAGTAGAGGCGACCTTCATGTGCGATGTAGTTTGATGGGCTAATTGTACATCCTCCGTGGATGCATTTGAAGCAGCTTTTGTGGTAAGGAGTTCCATTCACCGAAACCTTTTAACAGAAAATTTTAGTATGTGATGATTAAATAAAGGAAAAGTGTAGAACATGGAAACAAGTTGCGTCTGCTCGTTTTGTGAGTTGGGTATTTTTGAAATGTGGCAATCTTTACCTTCTCAGTTGGATAGACAGTGTTCTTGCAGCCGAAACACTTTTCTCTTGTTCCAGCGAACATGGTCGAGACTTTAGTTGACATAGGTTTCTGTTCAAAACAAATCACGTTCAAAACCAAAGAGAGGTGGTAGAAACTCAATTGTAAGCCATAAGAAAGTATCTAAATGTCAGGAATATAGGCAAAAGAAATTACCTCACCATCAACAGGTTTCTCTGGCTTTACAATTTTTGGTGTCCCTGCAAAGGAAGTCAATACGAGTAAATCAGTTTGAATTCGAAAGGGAAATGAAGAACTTATGCAACACTGGATTCCTAAAAGATTTTCTTTATATTTTACCCTCGAAGCTTTTGTCAAGACTGCCAGTTCTTTTGAACAGTTGATCAAAATGTGGCCTGCAGTAGAGAACCCCTTCAAAGGAATTGTAGTTGCCAAGCTGCAAATAGAACCATCTGTCAACAGATTGCATATAAGAACTACAACCATCTCTCTCTCAATAAGAACTGCTGACTTCGCTTTACAGTGAACAGATCAGTGAGAATGCATCAAAAGAAGAACAGCTGAAAGAAATCATGACACTTCAGAACAGCAGAAAAATCAGTTCACTGTACCCTATAAGGAGCTCCTCCACCTGAAATGTTCGCTTCAGTGAATTGAATTTTGAATTGTTGGCTGGTCTATTTTTGGCACTGTTGGTTTCTGCAGGGTTTGGTATCTAAAAGGTGATATCGCACTGCTCATAATATTGCAGGGGTTTGAATTTGAACATCAACATGATAATCCAGTCATCCATGATACAGGACAAGTCGAGGTCGGTATGCAATTATAAAGGGTGGATAGCTAAGACCGGGAGGACAAAACTAGAACCAAGAAGCTACAGAAACGCTGGGAATACATGGAGCTCAATCTGTATTTAGTAGAAACAACTAGGCATCCAACTTTAACATTTGCTAAAATACATGGATCTACCGAGTTTTTGATCTCTTATCAAAATTCTTACAGCATACCTTGAGGGTTCCTTTGCAATGATGGCATCGGAAGCAAGCCTTATGGTACGCACGGTTATCGGCTGTTAACTTATCGACGAGATAGACAGTCTTGTCACATGCCATACATTTCTGGGTTGTTCCTGCAAATGCCATGGCTTCAGAATTCTCACCCAGATGCAACTGTAGTCCCTATGCTTCTATCCCTTCCCTTTGTTTTGTTTCTGTTTAGGGACGAATGTGGAAGAGAAGTGATGAGGGGAAGATGAGGAAGAGAAATGATGAACAGGTGTAGTGGGCTGCAGGATGCTGCTGAGACCAAAAGCAGTGTTGTATAATTGAAGTTAGTGGCAACTGGCAATCATTTTGTCCAACTTTGAAGCACCTAACTACCGCTGTCTATAGATTTTATTTTATTTTTTGCCTGTACTCTTAACACTCGTGAATAAACCAGTGAAAATCTGAAATCCTAACTTTGTTTTGGTAGTGTGGTTGGATTTTCTCCAAATGTTTACCCTCATTCGGTGAAATGTCTTGTCGAGATTTTCCTTTATTGTTTGTGATGTCAAAGGCATAATAACCAAATAGCAATATCTAGCAAATAGTTCATGAACCGTCTTGATATGCAATATTAATGTAAGAAATTTACCACAAAAACATAGTAATTATTAATTTTATTATTGGATCAGACTCATATTTTCCTATCAAGTTTCATAAACTCAATTCTACGATGGGTGGAGGTCATTTTCATGTTTAAATTAAGCTTAGAAATTGTTGCTTGGGATTTTTCTTATTCTTTCTAGATAGGTTTTCTTCAAATTTTAATTTAATTTAATCTTTAGATTAGTTTAGCACCCATTTAAATAATTTATAAATTATTTTTAAATAGTTTGAAGAGTTATGAAATTTGAAATATATCAAAAATAATTTTCTTTGCATTTTAGAACAATAACTTGAAAATTCTAATTTTTTTATTAATGTAGATATTCGAGTCAACTTGCACATATCTCACTATAAACTAATAATTTTTAAAAATTAAATTTAAAATTTAATTAGTTAAATTACACCTCTTAAAATTAACTCAAACCTAATAAACTGCGTCAACTTACTATAAACTAAAAAGACGGAGGGGTCTTGTGTTGTTAATGTGGTTAAAATGCAGAAGCATTGGTGTATGTGGGCTGTCATAAATTGTTCAACAGTAGACTTGGTGCATTATAAAAAATGTTAAATGCCAATTCAACGAGGCACGAAGTGGTATAGTATATACGTGCACCAACCCACTTAGATGACCTTTAATTATTTGTTAGATGGATGAATGATGACCTTTAATTATTTATTTTTAGATTAAAAAAATAAAAATAAAATAAAATTTGTTAGATGGATGAATGAATCTAAATAGTTGGACTTCTTCCCTGCTAATATTATCCTACAAATATCTTTGCTGTCTTAAAGATGTGAGCCACAGGTTTAGGGTTTTGCTCTCCGTTTAAAATTTGAAAGGAAAAGGAGAGGGGACCATGAAAGCTGGAGTCTTGGACCGATCCTGCAGGGGAGCATACAACTTTGTCGTATGCTGAAAATTCAAATTTATTTCAGAATTCAGGAGCCTCTTTTGCTTGATTTTCCAGTGCTATTGACAATTGACCCAACAAGGGAAAACAAAAGGGTGTGCTAATGGCTTCGCACTCTTGTTAAAGCTCGACCCTCAAGTTGAAAAGCAGCGTCGGAGTGTATGAAAATAGGAGAGTAGATTCTTTTTAAAATGTTTTTTTTTAATATGTTAAAATAATATATTTTTTTAAAAAAATTATTTTTAAATCAAAATATCAAAACCATTTAAAAATATAAAAAATTATTTAAAAAAACAGGAAAAAAATAGAGGTTGTTTTAATAAAGGTTTCATAAGAATTGAACTTAAACCTTTTCCTTTTTGCTCTTGAAAGAAGAAATTATAAGGTTTTTTTTTTTAACGGTTTAAAATTAGAATAACACCTTGCTCTTTTAAGAAATTAGAGTTTGAAAAAAAAAACCTAGAAACTTCTATTCAAATACAATATTGTCCATCTAGAAAACTGGGATTTATATTGAGTTTTGAAAAACATATTTTAAAATTCTTAAATAATTTTCTTAGCAAATTTTCTACTATTTTTTAAAATAAAAAACACCAACAATACAATTTTTATATATATATATATATATTCTCCGCTATTCTTTTTTAAGAATTTAACTTAAACCCTATCCTTTCCCCCCTTTAGAAGAAGAAACTAGAAAGTATTTGCTTTGTAGGATTAGGGTCCAAAGGCTTTCCCACGCCAGCGCTTCGCTATCAAATATTTAGCTGGATTTCTTGCATCTCACATTTTAAGCCCCCTAGGGTATCGTCTTCGATTGTCTGAGCTTCCGAATAAGGTGGGCCTGAAGAAAAAATCCTGTACAATGTGTACAAATCTCTGTCGGAACCACGTTACGCTAATAAAAATGTGGTTAAATCATTAATGTACAGGTTGCTCGTCCTAGGTCCATCATTTGATTTTAAAAAAATATGCAACATAACAAAAATTCAAAATACATGTAATATAATAATTATCACAAAACCCTTGTAGGAATTTATCACTGTAACAAAACTTTAAAAATTATTTTATTATTTTGATAATGATTTTTTTTTTATCATCACATTAAATAATTTAGAATCATTAAAAAAATTAATGTAAAACGAATAAAAATATGTTAAAACACAAAAATGACTTAAAACAGCTAAAACAAGAGTCTAAGATATAGTTATAAAAACTGGGTAAATGATTTGTTTTATTCGAAACAGATTTTACTTTAAATTAGCTTTTTTTATAATAAAAAACATTTCAAAATTTATTGGACTGAATTTAGAACTGTGATCTAGATTTAAATTTATGGGTGTCGAGTCATAAAAGCGACTTCCCCTGCCACGCAATCCCAAAATGCATGGATGCCCCCCACAGTCTTCTTCCCCAAACTCCGCTTCAACTCCTCGTCCCACCAAGCCGAAATGATAGAAGCCCGCCTTAACACTGTACTGCCAGCGGGTAGAGTGGGCTCAAGATTGATTTAACTTGGTCCCAACTATCTTTTTAGAATAGAGTCGATGAGTGCACTCACATGCACCGACGATTCACGAATCATATGATATCCAGTTAAGCTTGTTCCTCACAGAATAATTCCCATGTGAAATGCTTATCGAATATGCCGAGTCGATTCTCATGTCTAATCACCGTGTGCCCTAAATAATCAGGTGGACCACTTTGAACTAAAAGCTTAAACCAAGGTCTAGGTTGGTCCCGGGATCCATGCAGCCTTGGTTAAAAATCCTCACCACCTGTATTTGTAATTTGCAAACAAGTTGCACTAATTTGTATTTTCAGGATTATTAGCCAACTTTATAATTATTTTCGGGGAAAATTACTCTTATAATTTGATTCTTTTTTTGTCTTTTGTTACCGAAAAATCTGAAAATGAACAGTATGTAAAAGTATGTAAATTAAATCTTTGAGACGCTCCATAATCGGGCATTTGGTCTAGTGGTATGATTTCAAAATGAACAGTATGTAACATTAAGTAAATTAAATCTTTGACATGTTTCATAAACGGGCATTTGGTCTAGTGGTATGATTCTCGCTTTGGGTGCGAGAGGTCCCGAGTTCGATTCTCGGAATGCCCCTATCTTGTGATTATTTATACATATTGCCCATGTTTTGTTTTATTTTTTGAAAAATAAGACCTTTCTTTGGTAATTTCCAAGATAAAACCCTAACCCCCCAGAAGCCAGAAGGAACGAAATCCGTCCTCTCTAATCCCATCTTCCTGTCCTCCGAGTAAGGTAATTTTCAAGCTAAAACCCTAACCCCAGAGGAGCAACGAAATCCTTTCACTCTCAAACCCCATCTTCCTGTCCTGCGAGTAAAATAAGCACAAAATAAATAAAAAAGAATGGCGTTTGGGCAAGTGGTGATTGGTCCACCGGGATCAGGCAAAACCACCTACTGCAATGGCATGTCTCAATTCTTAAGCCTCATCGGAAGGTAGTTTTTGCGTTCAATTTTCCAATCGCTAGAAAAGAAACGGTGATGTTAATAATAGTGTTTTGTTCATGTTAATAACTTTATGCAGGAAGGTTGCTGTTATCAATTTGGATCCAGCAAACGATGCATTGCCGTAATCTTTCTTTCTTTGAAAACTCGTTTACAATATTTCTTTCTGTTGTAGAAATACTTGGCCATTGCGATTTTCCTTTACAGGTATGATTGTGCTGTTAACATTGAAGATCTTATCAAACTAAGTGATGTAATGAACGAGCATTCCCTTGGTCCCAATGGAGGTCAGCCTGCTTATTTATTTCACACCCTTGTGATTAATTTCTGCTAGTAATTGCTTAATGTTGATATCATTTGCTTTTTTTACCAGGTCTTGTTTATTGCATGGATTATTTGGAGAAGAATGTTGACTGGTTGCAATCCAAATTGGAACCTCTGTTGAAAGGTTAATGCAGTACATTATAGGCGTCAGCTGTTCTGTCTTTCATGCTTTGCTTCGTTTAGGACATGTTTGAACTTTGAGGTTTTAAAACCCACTAGTTGAACCTTGTTTAGGACATTTTTAGTCTAGTTACAGTGTTGAAAATGTTGACTCTGTTGCAGATCACTACCTTCTTTTTGATTTTCCGGGCCAGGTGGAATTGTTTTTTCTCCATTCGAATGCCAAGAATGTTATAATGAAACTCATTAAGAAGTTGAACCTTAGGGTATGCTTTAATTTACAAGGCTTTCATATTATTTTAATTTGTTAACCGCTCCTTGTGATCTTGATACTATTAATTGAATTTCTCATCTTACGCAGTTGACTGCCGTGCATTTAGTTGATGCCCATCTTTGCAGTGATCCTGGAAAATATGTCAGTGCATTGCTTTTGTCACTATCAACAATGCTTCATCTGGAACTCCCACATATCAATGTCTTGTCTAAGATTGATCTAATTGAGAGCTATGGCAAGCTAGGTGTGACTCTTCTCTTCCTTTCCTGTTTTGAGAATTATGTTATTTTAACAAAAAATTGTAAGCATTGACTGTATGCCTTTTAATGTGCTGCAGCTTTTAACCTCGATTTCTATACAGACGTGCAAGACTTATCATATTTGCAGCACCAACTTGATCAGGATCCTCGTGCTGCTAAGTACAGGTCTATATTTCTAGAATCCATTTCCTGAATTATTCAAACCACTCATGCTTGGTGCATTGAATGTGTGAGTTTTACCTTGCTGGCAATCCTACCCTTTTGCCTTTTCATCTACTTAGATTTTCATAATCTTCTACCCTTTTGCCTTTTTGTCTACTTAGATTTTCATAATCTTCGACATTGTGGAAAATAGCGTGTGATTCTGTTGGTGGTATTTATTTTAAACATAAGATAGTACCCATCAAAGAGTTTGATTCGACATATGGCCATGTGTTAAAATACATAAAATGATGCTTTGTAGGAATAATTGTTCCTAATCTCAGACCCCAGTCTGTGAGATCATCAATCTATGCTTAGGCTATTTCAAGATAAAATACATAAAATGTTGCTTTGTAGGAATAATTGTTCCTAATCTCAGACCCCAGTCTGTGAGATCATCAATCTATGCTTAGGCGATTTCAAGGTCTGTAAACTACCGCACCATTGACAGGAGAATACTGTCACTTCTGATAATCATATTGGTGTAAATACCTGTTTAGTTGTTAATGCAAGCTGTTAAAACTTCTTGTTGCAGGAAGTTTACAAAGGAGTTGTGTGATGTAGTACAAGACTTCAGTCTCGTTGATTTTACAACTTTGGACATTCAGGCATGGGAATTTCTCTCACTACTTGAAGTTTGTATGAAATGTTTATAGCGTGTTCTTAGTTGGACACTTCTTTTCAGGACAAAGAGAGTGTAGGGAATCTTGTGAAGTTGATAGACAGGACCAATGGTTACATCTTTGCTGGTGTGGAATCCAGTGCAGTTGAATTCAGCAAGATTGCAGTTCGCCCTGTTGACTGGGATTACTACAGATATCCTTATTGTTGTTAATGTTCATTGTATTAGATGCAGTTATGTGACATGGGTATTATTATTCTTGTTTAATTGTGCTTTATATTAAGTGCTAGTGACCTGCCTTGTTTATATCATTAATTTTTACTGAAGCGCATCAACTTGTAGGCTCAAGTAAATCCCATGCATATTCTTTATGTATATAATTGTGCTTCTCTATTTTAATAGTTCATAGGAAATTTTCATATTTTATGAGAAACTATGATCTGGTCACTTCAATAATTCAAAAGTTTTTGTTATGGCCTCAGTAATCAGTCGATTACTGGACATAGAATGAGCATTTTTCCTTGACCAAGCAGTTCACGGTTGCAGCAGTGCAAGAGAAGTACATGAAGGATGATGAGAATTTTGACAATGACAACTGAAAACCTAGTTTGGTGAGATAATTCTCTGCATATTGAATTTATCAGTCCCAATTTTATTTTGCATGTGACCGTTTCTTATTGAAAGTTTTTGGCTGCTGTTGGTGGTGCTTCGGGTTTATCAGTGGGTGAGCTACAATCCTGTTGTTTTCTGATAGAAGATACATAAAACACGGGTCCAGGAAGTTCACTTCCGCCTCCCTCCACTATCATCCATGCATGGTGTATATAATGAAAACTGGGAACTGGCCTTTTTTTGGAATGTGCAATTTAATCCTCTGATACATGCAACAGAACTCTGGCTTGGAGTGTAAAAGGAAGCAATCTATGACGGTTGTCTTCACTATAAATATGGTCTTAGTCAATGAGATTGTAATGAATTTGTTTTTGCTAGCAATTAGGAATGGTATACAGCTTTGGACATTTAAATTCATTATATATTCTGTGACACTTGCACTCACCAGGGGTTGATGCATTATAACGTAGTGTACTTTTATCCAGTGTATAGATGCACTTGCTGATGAAGTTTTCTCGCCATTTTGTGGGGAGCAAAGTAACATCTTGCCTTTGAGGACTAGTAAGTAGTTCAACGTGTCAAAGAGTTAATTTAGCATGATCTTTGAATTATGATTTTTAACTTTCTTTAAATCAAAATTTTGCCTTGGTTCTGTAACAAATTTCTTATTCAAGTTAAAGTTATTTCTTGACAAGTGTAACAAATATTATACATGACGAATCACTGATCTATCCTAATACTAACTAAACACTATTTATGTGTATCTTTCCAGGAGATAATACATCGTATCTGTAAGAAGTTTCTGCCTCGTCGTTCAAGTTAACTAAAGCGCGTGGATTAATGTTATTTGCGGTCCCAAAAGCGCGTGGTTTTGTTTTCTTTGAAATTTGATGCACGGGCTCCTTCTAGAGAGAGCGCGTGGATTTGTTTTCTTCGAAATTTGACACACGTGCTCCTTCTAGAGAGAGTACTAAATGACGGAGCAAACTATTTCCAATGGCAAGCTAGCCTTGACATTTTGAATGAACTAGGACGCAACTTACAAGCCGTCATGTAGACTTTTTTACAAGTTATATATATATATAT